CCTTTGTAATGCTGTCTCTCCAGTTGCCCAGCGTTTCTTTAACTATAGTTTCATCTTGGTCACAACCAGGTGGTGATCTGAAGCAATGTCAGCTCGTTTCCTGGCTTACACGCCTTCTACTGACTTTCTGAGCTTCTTTCGTGTTACATATATGATTTATTTGTTTTTGTGTAGTGTGATCCGGTGACACCCATGAAGCTTTGTGTATACGTTTGTGTGAGAATATTGTGCTACCTATAACCAATTTGTTGAATGCCCATATATTTGCGAATCTCTCCCCATTTTCATTTCTCTCTCCCAGTCCATGTCGTCCCATGATATCTTTATATCCTGTGTTGTCCATTCTGACTTTGGCGTTTAGATTGATTGCAGCCTCTCATAGAACTGATCTTTATTATTGTCGTTGCTATAATTGGTGGGTGTACAACATTGAATAACATTAATTGTGATCCCCTCCTTCTTTGTTTTGAATGATGCTTTGATTATCCTGGATCCATGAGATTCCCATCCCACAAGTGCAATTCGTGCTTCTCTGGACAGCATTAGCGCAACTCCCTGAGTATATGGAGCATTTTCCTCCTCGTGATCGGAGTACAGCAGCATCTCTTCCGTATCTAGCCTTTGTTGTCCAGCTTGGGTTCAATGGGTTTCACTGATTCCAAGTACTGCCAATTTGTATCTCCTGATTTCCATTGCTATTTGACTGGTCTTCCCGATCTCCCACGTTATCTGGACATCCAATGCACTTATAAAAATTGTTGCTCTGGTTGTTAGAAGTGGTATGGGCCTCGTGACTTCTGAAGAATTTCTGCTTTCATCCCAAGTCGTCATAATTCTTGCTCGAACTCCCAGGACAGAGTTTAAATGGTTTTAATTATTTTTTCTGGTTAACGTCTTTATAGCGAGTTAGTTTTCTACGGGATGAGGCTGCCGACCCCATGCCCAACCCTCTTCTATTACACGGGCTTGGGACCGGCAGTAACTTTAGAGAAGCTACAGCGGACTTGCCTCATATCTAACATGGTTGAATTCCAATGATCAAGGCTTTTAACAAGACCTTAACTATAATATCTCAAAGTTAGTCACGAGTGAGCATATAATTAATTACTATAGAGGATTTATAAAAATTTTCTCAATTCCATTATTAACATCACTGATTTATTTTTATTATCTAAACAAATAAATATTGGTAAAAAGGGGCACCGAATAGATATGAACCAAATAAATCATTCGATTTGTGTGAAGACTGGGATACTGTCCGGATGCCCAAACCTAAGCAGATTGTTTTCTTAGACGGCCACACCCAGAGCCTTCGACCTAAACGTCTGATCCACAAGACAGTGAAGCAACGTCAGGAGATGTAGATTCATGGTATTCGGTGATCAACAATAGGTTCATATGCTATTTGTTCCTTCAGGATCCTGAAGCCCATATGCACCATTGGTTTGAAATCAGGGTTTCCAACTGCCCTAGGTGAATCTTCCATGTCCACCAACCCGGTTAAAGCGCTGAACATTCGCTTTTCGTCCTCTGAATTTCGTAAACAACTGTAATGTCGCGAGAAGGCAGTGAGTATGACGTCTGTGGAAGTGACTGTATACGCTTGGCCATGTGAGAGCATTTAGAGAGGGAGAGTGAACTCTCCCCACTCTCGACTGTACCAGGGCATTTAGGTGGTGAACATGACTAAATGCCTAAGGTTATTGAAGGAAATGAGTTTTACAGGTCATTCATCCTACAATCAATTAATATTGTACTATTAGTTCTAATTCTTATTCATCATTTCGATTTCGCATCACATTAATGAAAATTTACAAATGTGTTGATTCCAATTGCGACCAACCTTCAATTTTGACAAATGTATCCATAAAAGTAAGAGGTTTAACCCAAGTTACATCATCAGGTTGTTGTTCAAATAAAAAATTCCAACGAATCACTGAACAAGTAAATTTATTTATAAGAACTCTCGTCTAAATTAGAACGAATAGTTTCACAGTATTTGAGCGCCGCGTTGAAGTAAGACATTAAATAGGAATAATATATTTGTAAGTAAATTTATTATTGTTATTATCATTATTATAATTATAGCAATGATAATAAGATAATCCACATGTACGTTACTTGAAAATCCTTGTTTCAATTCCCAGTATGTCCGTGAATAAGAACTACCGAGGAGCCTCATACAAGGACAAAACAGTTGTACAATATTTCACAGTAACTGTCTATGGTTAGTTCAAGGTGAACACTATAAGAAAAAACTGTTTGTCAATACCACTTGTTACAATGTTGATTTGAGTATAACATTCTATGTAGGTTATTTTTTTTAATGACATAAATTGAATACATGCTACATTGTTGTTTATTGTTCAATGACAAGACAGATGTCAAAAATATGTTATTACTCATTAAAAGTGCACAATATATAGAAGAAGAAGAATCAATCTTTTCTTATCAAGTTGAATTAATACACCTATTGAACTATGAATTCATTGTACATGTTTTGAGTATAATTTTTATGATTATGAACACACTAATAAGAAATGAACACATCTGATTCTGGTTACAGATGAAAGTATATTCTGAACTGTAAATCTATTGATGAGAGATTGTTTACTTGTCTAATGTCAATCATAATCAGTATAACAGTTATTACAAAATAACTAAATGCAAAACTGTCATCATTAAGCAATGATAATGTTTGGTACTGCATAGTTACTAGATGTATCCTTAGAATGTTATTCGTCTAAACAAGTTTCATTTATGACTTAACTCTCATGATTCAGTCTGTTAGTGTTATGTGGGCGGTTTTCAGTTCCCGACCATCCATATCCTAAATAGATACTTCTCTTTCTGGGACCTGGAAAAAAAAACTGAATTAATAGTAGTAGTCTTAATGAACTGAGAGTGTGATCACAGTCTATAGAACAGGACATCTGCTGGAGTCTGATCACTAAACCCTTTGAAAGTATCTGTTGATGTATTAGGTCTGTATCTTTAAGGACTTATCACGAGAGAACTAGGTGAGATGTGATATTTTTAGACATGACCTTTCCTAAACCCCTCAATCTGATGTGATAAGACACTATCATACCAGATACCGGTTGTCTGATGTCGATTCAGCTTACTTTCATCACATCCCAATACAATCAGCAATATGAATTATTCGCCTTCGAACTATGATATTGGTATTTCTAATCTCATACTCTTCAACTGAACTGTCTGGTGTGGTAGGACGTGGAAGTATGTGTATTCTAATCAATATGAATCGATTAGGTCAACACCATAGACAAGCCTGATCAGAACTGCAAGGTGACAACTACGGCTAGGGCTCAGTTGATTACATCGTAGTAAAACCAAAATATCTCAATCTAAATGATCATCCTGTTTGTTGGCATAAAGTTAGGAAAAGGTAAATCAAAATAAACTCTGGATTAGTTTATGGCAGTGATATGTGGGTGTCAAAAGTAAAAAGCATTCGTCAGTTACAATTATGCTTTCCTTCAAATCATCCCTCACATGTAACTGAGCAATCGATTGGTGCAAAAATTAGACTTGATATTTCAGGAGGAATGGGGATTCGACTCTTCAGAATACGGCACTTCATAGAATGAGTTGACTGAGATAAGTGTTAACATATTTAACCACTACTTATCTTGATATGCTCTTTTAACAATCAAAAAAGTAGGTGAATCTACAGTAAAAAGTGGTATCGACCCATGGAGCCACTGACCCTTGAATTAACTTATGTAGACTTTTTCAGTTGACATTCACGAAACGATAACTTTTTTAATGGGTTCTAATGCTTATTGACATGATTAGGATTCATTTGTATATATCTATTATTGTTCATGACTGGCTGACTAACAAATGAACAGTAACGTATAAGCTTTTCGTTGCTAACTGACTAACCAAATAAAACTTTTTCTTATCAGTACTAATAATCATAAAATTTAGATTATATATATTATTTCAACTGTGTACAATGCCCTGGTATGGCCGAGAATGGGGAGAGTTCGCTCTCCATCTTGAAATACTCTCATATGGCCACGCGTATATAACCTCTGCCAGGGAAGTCCTACTCATTGCCTTCTCGCGGCAGTTTATGAAAATGAGAGCCCGAAAAGCGAATTTCCGACGCTTTAACCAGGTTGGTCCACCTAGGGGAATTGTAAAATCCTGATTCCAAATCGATGATGCACATGGTCTCCAGTATCCTGAGGGGATAAATGGTGTATGAACCAATAGTTGATCACCAGCTACCATGGGACTGCATCTCCTCACGGTGTTCCACTGCCTTGTGGATCAGACCTTTAGGTTGAAGGCTCCGTGTGTAGCCTCCTAAGAAAATCACCTGCTTCAGTTTGGGCACCTGAGCAGTATCATAGCCCTCATGTAAATCGAATGAGATTTGTGCGGCGCATATGTATCTGGTGCTTCCTTGTACCAATATTTATGTGTTCAAATAATAATAATACTGTCTACAATTATGGAAACATACACAATAATGATGCCATGTCATCATTACTAGTCTTATTCAATTATTAATAATGAACTTTGTTAATGAATCTACTGGAAAAATGATACTAGAATATTCATTTAGTATTGCTTGTTTGAATCTTCCAATTGATGTTTTTAAGACTGCAACTGGTTAGTCTCTAATTGGCATATGTACATACTGCGTGTAATGCCTCGATATAGCCTTAATTCACAAGTATGGTAAGCAGAGATGGATAGTGGCTAGCAGTGAAATTTAGGACACACGTTTCATCCTATTTCGGACTCGTCAGCTGGATGTACCTACATCTCAGAGTTGATGTTCACTCTGGGACTCAAACCCAGTACCATTCAGTTCAAACGCCATCGCGTTATTCACTCAGCAACTGAGTCCTGATAGTCACTTACTTCACACCATCACACAAGCAAAAGGTATAAAATCAACTAATAAAATTATATACAACCAACTGAAAACTAATTATAACAATAATCCATAAGATAAGTAGTAGTAGTAGTAGTACTTATTATTTTATTAAAAATAAATCTTCTAGAAACATACAAAGTTTCATTAAAGGAATTGAAATGAATTATGTGAATAAATTGAATATTAAAGGTCAAGTTGAGATGCATTAATAAACAGAAAATAAACAATAAACTGTACACAAAAAAGTAATTCAGCAGTACAAGAATAAAACAAAACATACTCATTTATATATATATATATATACACACACACACACATACATACATAAATATTGTACCGATAAATAACAACTCTTACAAAAAAGTAACATTAGATACAGGAAAAAAGAAATAGAGTTGATGAAAAGTAATAATACCAATGACTACAATAGAATAATTTATTGAATTTAAGACTAAATTGTACAAATCAAGTATCTGAGTCCGGATTTAATACATTCTCTAATGGTGTAGTTAAAAAGACAGTTTTATCTAAACTATTTGGAAGATATTCAGATAATTTAGTACAAATACTTTGTTTTTGACGTATCCAATTATTATTCCATTGACGACCTAAACGTGTTCTAAGTAAAAAATCAGGTAGATTTGATAATATTTCACGTAAATAAGTAATTGTTGCAAATATTCCACCAGCTAATACAGCAAGTCGAGTAATAAATGTACCTAATAATTCACGATCATATGTTATTTTTACAACTAATGGAAATATATCATAAACAAAAAATATTCCAGGTATTCCATGACTTCCTGCATTATGATCAATTGTTCTATTCTAAAATTAATATAGAAGAAGAAGAAGAACAGAACAAAGATAATGATAGAATTAGTAAATTTAAAAATAAACTATAAAAACTAATTCATTAGAGTGTTGTTTTAAACTAATTGATTAAGTTCATTTAGTATTGTTTGTTTGAATCTTCCCATCGATTTGTTAGGACTGCAACTAGTCAGTCTCTTATTAACATATGTGCATACTATGCGTATTGCCTCGATATAGCCTTAATTCACAAGAGACTGACCAAACAAATCGATGGGAAGATTCAAACAAATAATACTAAATGAATTTAAACTTCACTCCATTGCACAAGCAAGTGGCTATCAGGACTTAGTGGCCGAGTGGATAACAAGATGGCGTTTGAAGCGAGTGGTACTGGGTTCAAGTCCCAGGGTGGACATCAACTCTGAGATGTAGGTACATCCAACTGACGAGTCCCGAATAGGACGAATCGCGCGTCCTGGATTCCACTGCTAGCCACTATTCATCTCTGCTTAACTGATCAAGTATTAAAATAGTTATTAACATTGAAAAATATTTTCAAAAGTATCTAGAACTTCAAGGTCATCACCACTAGTAACCTTAGAAATATCCTTTGTTTTTGTGTACATGACTTAACCTTGAAAGTGAAAAAAGGATATTTTGTATGTCCAATTTATAACAAAGATAATAAATGGTTAATATTTCAATGAATAGAAAATTGAATTCTTGGCTTTTAGCGACCTCGTCTTAATCGTTTCTTCGGATCTGCTACAAATATATTCATTAGTCTTATTAAAATTATTTAATTTAATTGTTAAATTCATTAGTCGATTGAAGCTAGACCATCATAAAAAACCTGGAAGCACTGGACGACCATTTCGTCCTAGTATGGGACTTCTCAGCATTGCGCACCTACGATCCCGCCTCGCAAGATTTGAACCCATGGCCTATCGGTCTCGAACGTAAAGGCTTAACCTCTAGACTACTGAACCGGCATCTAATGGTGTTAATGTCTAACTTCAACCAATCCACGAAATTGCTCCGACCATCCAGTGCTTCCAGGTTTCTCATGGTGGTCTAGCTTCAATTGACTTACGAATTCAACTATTAAATTATTATAGTATTCACAATACTCCTCCCTGAAAATTAGTTAATCCAATAGCTTTTTCATTTGAGATTATCAATTCAAAGCTTAATATTGAATTGTTGGTTTCTGATTATATTGAAGATTGTAAAAAATCTACGAGTTAGTTATATAGTTGAAATCTAAACAACTAACTGTACTTAAACGGTCTTACAAACCTCTGAAACAGATCAACTACATCCTTAATATATAACTGAATGCCGTAAACAGGTCATCTTAAAACTATACCATACTTTAAAGGTGTTAATTCACTGGGCTTGTATAAAGGCTTATACTTATATATCAATTATCAAACTCTGAAATGAAAAGGTTGAATAAATTCACATCCATAGTTTTTCTATGGTATAAAGCCTCAATTTAAGTTAAAAATGAATTTGTGTATAAAGTCTGTTGGTTTTGGAGGTGCTATTACAGAATTTGGGACCCAATGATAAGGCCTGCATTTGGATAGCCGAAAGTTTAATAGAAAAATGATTAAATACATAATTTTCGGGATGTTCTGGAAACTTGTTAATCACGTCTACATATTGCAATGTTTCTAAGTGTTTACATTTAGCTTTTTGTGACTGTTTTTCAGTAACATCAGTAACATAATCCTCAAATTATTTACGTTCATCTAACGACAATTCAAACAATGCGTGACTTCTTAGAGATATGTTGCGATTTAGTTCAACTATTCGAGATTTAATGGCATCTATACAATTGAGAGTATGACAGTACTGAAAAACAGTCACACAAAGCTAAACGTAAACACTTAGAAATATTGCAACATGTAGACGTGATTAACAAGTGTCCAGAACATCCCGAAAATTATGTATTTAATCATTCTTCTATTAAATCCATTTATTTTATCGTTCAATCGGTACTGATATGAATAACTAACGGTTAAGTTAATGCCAGTATCCGACTGAAACCATAGTTACACAGTTGGTGGTATTAGTAACATTTGTTTAGAAAAAGTAATGGTACTTCAGACTAATTTATCATCCATTCAGTTTCATAAATACGAGATAACTATTAATAAAGTTGTCATTTAGGAAAACAATCAAATATATGATCTATCACATTGTACTGAAATAACATCAAGCGGAAATCATACAACAAGAATTGGAAATCAAAAGAAAAACTAAGGTAAAAGAGCGAAAATTATGCATTTGGTTTTCCGATATTCATAATATATTGTCCTTCATAAATATCTTTCTGAAAGGTAGACAGTAAGTTTTGTTTCATCACAGAGGCAATACTGAATTTAAATGATGGTGTTGCCTTATGTGGAGATGATTGAAAATCAAACGACGAGAGAGTTGAAGAGTCAAAAATCTAAGAACATCCAAACAAGTTTTGAAGAATGAACAAGAAGATGAGACGAGTCAACTATCACACGGTAGGGGCTACATTGAATGGGGGATACAATTAATTTATCTTATGTTATGTACAAAAAAGTTTTTATGACTTCATCTCGCGTATTTGTTGTACATACTACATACCACAGCATTTTAAAAACAGATCCGCTCCTATAAGCGATTTTAGTTAATATAACTTCATTTCCCGAATAAATGTTTATCTAGTCTGTATTAAACAATACACTTTAAAGTTGAAAGCATGAGTCACTAGAGACTTCGGGAAGTACATCCAGGATCTCTAGTGAGAAACAGTGACCAGTGGAGTGCAAACCACGTCTGTCGTGAGATAGGAACTCACTGATGACAATTGGTGAATGGTTGCTCAACTTCGTGGATCAGTTGAAGTTAGACATTAACACCATTGGATACCAGCTCAGTGGTCTATCGGTTAAGGGCTCTGGCTCGAGACTGGTAGATCCTGGGTTCGAATCTCGCGAGCGCAGGTTCGTGGATGCGCACTGCCACTGAGGAGTCCCATAATAGGACGAAACGGCCGTCCAGTGCTTCCAGATTTTCGATGGTGGTCTAGCTTCAATTGACTCATGCTTTCAACCATGAAACATACAAATTTCCACAAAACCCCTTCTGATAATTAATACACTTTATGTAAAAGGCAGTGATTCCATTCGATCGTTCAATTCATAATAAGTATGTAGGGAATAGAATTAATAGCTTAATGGTTACAAATCAAATGGCTTAATAATCAGTTTATCGTTTCTACACAACATAACTGATTGAATGAAATAATCATTAATTTCACAACAACAAGTTGAGATAAGAAAATCCACATCATATAATTTTGTTAATTAAGTACAAAAATACTTTTGGAAAGAGTTAACTAAGTAAAGTAAAAAACAATGATGATTGTAAGCACAACTAAGCCAATTGATTAAAACAATCAAGGTCATTCAATGATGAATGAAAAGAAAATATAAATGGAAATATTTGATGAGACTATAATTTATGAATTAACCAATCATATTTAAGATAGGAGGTTTTGAATTTTAGCGCGAAATTTATTTACTCATTGGATTAAATATCATCATTAACATTATAGTTGATGTCACTTTGTGATGGAAATATCAAATTTAATTACTAAACCTAACGATCAACTGTAAATCCTAATCCTAATTTTTCACACTAATCTATAAACCATATTTAACCCTAATAAGTGGGTGGAAATTTCCAGGTCATTTTAGACTTCCACAAAGATTGTCCATTAAATTTATAGTCTCACTAAATATTCTTTTGAAAAGTGTATAAACAGTGAAAATATATTTAGCTGAAAAGTCACAGCGATGAATACAACTTAATAAACTATATTTTAATGTATAATAATCTCATTTGATATGTGTGAGGGCTGTGATACTGCTTAGGTGCTCAAACTGAAGTAGGTGGTTTTATTAGGGGGCCATACACGGAGCCTTCAATCTAAGGGTCTAACCCACAAGGCAGTGGAGCATCGTGAGGCGATGCATTCCCATGGTAGCCAACAACTGGTTTATACGCTATTTGTTCCATCAGGATACTGGAGTCAGTCCATGTGCACCATTGGTTTGGAATCAAAGTTTTCCAACTCCCCTAGGTGAACTTTCCGTGTCCATCAACCGGGTAAAAGCGCCGGAAATTCGCTTTTCGTTCTTTCAATTTCGTAAACAACAGTAATGCCACGAGAAGGCAGTGAGTAGGACTTCGCTGGCAGAGGCTATATTACGCATCACGATGTGAGAGTATTTCGAGAGGGAGAGCGAACTCTCCCCACTCTCGGCCATACCAGGACATTTGGGGGCACATGATCGGAAAGAAATGTTTGAAATACAAGTTTTGAATCTAATCCATTGAAAAGCTTTTTTATTATACAAACATGAATAGCCCTAAACTAAGGACAAAATGAACATCTATTTAACTACTGAGTTCAAATATTCGCCAACTTGTTAACATTGTACGAAAGTGATTTATTGTTGTTGATACTCAGGACTAAAGTTGATTAATCTGTTGCCATATGTACATTATTAGTGGTTTGCTTTGATATAGCATTTCGCCACAAGTTATTGAATGTTTGGTATGTGGCTATCAGTGGAAACTAGGATAAGCATTTCTTCTTATTCGGCTATCTGGACTCAGCAGCTTAATGGAGTAACGGGTTGTTTAAAGAGATAGTCATTGGGTTTCAATTTCAGATGATGAGTCTTAAGTAAGACGAAACGTGAGTCCTAAATTCCACTGCTAACCACATACTGAATATATAATAACTTGAAATAAAAGGCTATAAATGAGAGAATCGATTCAGAGTGTACATATAACAACTGACTGATTAATTGCGATCTTGTATATCATCAGCGGGAAATTGCTAATATGTATCGACCAAATTTCAGTTTTTCTCAATACCATCACTTAAATCCGTCATTTCCCCCATTAATTTCACCTCGTCGTGATGCGCAATGCGACAACTTAGGTTAATATACATATGCCCCAGGCTCAAAGTTAATTACGACTGACTGTTGACCAAATTTACACTAATTTTATTTCCCCTTATATGAGTCATTGTTTATTCAACGTGAAAACACCCTCAGTCGTATTCCATCACATTGTCCTACTTATTGAGCTACTTAACAACACTGTTCAATTCACAATTTCATTACTACAGATGTTGACAGCTTTTCTCAATTCATTTAATGAAAATAGCGTTTGAAATTATAATTGATCTATTTAACAAAATTATTATTTCGACCCATCGAATATACATTGATTACGATCACTTAAAATCTTCTTATCAGCAATGATAAATAACTCACTGTCGATTGACCTCGTTTGTTAAAGAGGTGAATATCTCCTGGTCGAATTCTACTTCCCAACCGTAGCTGTCACCTTGACGTGGTGATCAAGCTTGTTTATGGTGCTGACCCAATCGAGTCATATTGATTAGAATACACATACTTCCACGTTCTACTACACCAGACAGTTCAGTTGGAGAGTATGAGATTAAAAATACTAATGTCATAGTTCGAAGGCGAATAATTCATATTGCTGATTGTATTGGGGTGTGACGAAAGCAAGGTGATTCGCCATCAGACAACCGGTATCTGGTATGATAGTGTCTTACCATAAAGGAATGTCAGTCAGCTACAACGTAGGACCAGGCACATTTATGCATCGGTCCAAGTTGCCATACCTCGTTAGCACAACAAGATCAACACCGGATTCATAGAAGTAATTAATTTTGTGGTGGTAGTATATAAAGAAAGGCTGTATATAAGGATATAGTATAGGAAGGAAGAAAGTTATGAAGCAGTTTTAATCTCAAGGTTTAAGGGAAGATAAAGAGTGTATACACCTACGCCATTGTGATCGATCGATTCTGAGCCATGTCACACAGAGTCTCCAACCATTGGTTACGATAGTCACGCGGACCCCAACCAGGTAGTCTGAATCTGCCAACTTGGCTCAGACTAGAAGTTAGTGACTTCAAACACTGATGCCATGTTTTGGTTTGGCCGCCCCTAACTCTCTTTCAACCATCCCCAATACTAGTCATCATAGCGCGTCGTGGTAATCGGTGTTCAGGCATACGTAACACGTGGCCTAACCATCTCAATCGATGAATATTCACAACCTCATCAACTGATTTATCATCATTTCCTAATACCCTGTGTCTAACCTCACTATTACTTACTTGATGATCTCAGCAGATGGGAGCAATATTTCTAAGGCATCTGTGGTCAAATACTAATAACTTACGAGTATCTTCTACTCTTAATGGCCATGTTTCACAGCCGTAAAGTAGAACAGAGCGAACTGATGCGCAGTACACTCGTCCCTTAACGAGCCTTTTGAATCCGTGCTGAAATTTCGTCAGACACCAACCTATAAGAGCTGATCAGACTGAATGTTTAAAATTCAGGTTAATTTACTTTTATTTGAACACGATTATGTGATATTATAATTAACACTAAATATTGAATGCAATGACCTATACCTTGATAAATGAAAATACACTGATTACTTATATTAAACGACTTAAACTTTAAAAAAAAACATGAATAATCACCTGTAAAGTTGCTGCATATTGATAAGTTTCCGTAATATGAAAATGATTAACCACTTTGGTAGGGACCATTGTGACAAAATATTGAAATGATGTAAAGGCTAAATTTGAAAAAAAACACAGTTAAAATACAAAAAGCCTATAATGGATATCTTCATGTTTTTTTTGTAAACAAAAATACATTTTGAGTGTATGAACGAGTGCGGTGTATACGAGAGAGAAACCAAGATAGTATGAAGTATCGATATTCAACTTAATAGCTGATTAAACCCAGTTAAATCTTTTTTAAAGTCAGCAAACAAATACCTTAATTCTTAACCGCAAGTTTTTATGATGAAGTCGTGCTGGCGACTGTACTAGGAGTATTGTAGCAGTAAAGTTTTCCTGACGAATAGAAAGTAACATAAGCAATAGCACTTCGACACAAATGGAAACGAGGTCAGGACCATCAAATGAGTGATCCTGAGGTTGTGAATAGGATCTTCATTAGAAAAAATGACAAGAATGATGATTGTGTAAACTTTGATCAACTAAAATAGTTGATATACATGTTGCATATGACGATCAATGTAAACAGTCACAATAGCAAATACGCACATATGCCAACTAGAGACTGACCAGTTGCAGTCCTAAACATCAATGGGAAGATTCAAACAAACAATACTAATTTGAATTTAAACTTCACCCTATTGCATAAGCAAGTGGCTATCAGGACTCAGTGGCCAAGTGGATAACAAGATGGCGTGTGAAGCGAAAGTTACTAGGTTCGAGTCCCAAAGTGAACATCAACTCTGAGATGCAGTTACATCCAGCTGACGAGTCCCAAGTAGGACGAAACGCGCGTCTTGGATTCCACTGCTAGCCACTATTCATCTCTGCTTACTAGTCACAATACCAGATTGAAAATACGCTTAAAATCTACCAGAAAATCTTATAATCTCAGTACAGGAAGTGTGTTATATGACATGAATTGAGATTAACTAAAGTAATTAAGTTACATTTACTACTTTCTCCCCCTGAATTTTGAACAAAAAAATGATCAAATAAGCTTTGTTTATCAATATCATTGGTTCTATTCTAACTAAATATAAATATATTCAGCTTTGTATTTCAGTTGATCTTATATTTATAAGAAGCGATCAAACCAGTAAGACCAGATCTGATGAATTCAATATAATAATAATAATAGTTCAGTTTAAAATTTATTTAGATTTGAACAAATTTACTTGTCGCTTATTTCATTAGGTTATCGTACTATATTCTGACAATTTCTGTTATGTATTTATTCAATATGAAATTTGTTTTTAGGTTGTATTTATTTTTATCCATTTGAACACATAAATATTGGTACAAAGAGCCACCAGATACATATGCACCACACAAATCTCATTTGATTTGTGTGAAAGCTGTGATACTGCTCAGGTGCCTAGACTGAAGCAGGTGGTTTTCTTGGGGGGGCACACTCGGAGCCTTTGACCTAAGGGTCTAACTCACAAGGCAGTGGAGCATTGTAAGGAGATGCATTCCCATGGTAGCCGGTGACCAACGATTGATTTATACGCTATTTGTTCCCTCAGGATACTGGAGTCAGTCCATGTGCACCATTGGTTTGGAATCAAAGTTTTCCAACTCCCCTAGGTAGACTTTCCGTGTCCATCAGCCCGATTAAAGCGTCGGACATTCGCTTTTCGTCCTCTCAATTTCGTAAACAACAGTAATGCCACGAGAAGGCAGTGAGTAGGACTTCGCTGGCAGAGGCTATATACGCGTGGCCATATGAGAACATTTCGAGAGGGAGAGAGAACTCTCCCCACTCTCGGCCGTACCAGGGCATTTGGAGGCTGTTATAGTTAGCTAAATATCATTAAGAATTACTGAAAAGGAAAGTTGAGTATAAAGAGTGGAATATTTTTTCCATAAAATATGTCCTTTGCAATTGTACATTAGAATTGTTTTAATGATTGAGGAAGAGTTAAAATTTTGAGGGCATAATGTAAGAGATTAACTATGTTTTGTTTATTCAGTACGGTCATCCTCGAAATGATATTTTTGAATTGTATAGAGAAGAACAGGCTATAACACAGGTAAGTGGAGATGGAATTTACAAGTTTCGATTTAAGTGATTTAGTTTAAGTTATAATAAATCCTCTTGTGATAAAAAGGAACTCACCAATATCAGTAACGGATTCAACAGCTTCTAACGGATGTATTTGTCCATTAACTAGATCACCAAAAGAAAAATGATTTATTCGATGACTGAAATTCTGAACTAAAATCAACAAACAAGAGAAAAAGCAAGAGGTGAGAAACAAATCATTTTCAACAAAATGGTTTTTTTAATTACACAATAATATTTATGGAACAACATATCTTTTGAAAGCGCAATGAGTTTGTGAAGACCGTTGGAGTTTTATGGTTTGCATCAGAGGCTTACCTTGGCTACACAACTACTGAAAATCATGCGCTCAATAGTGAGTAATTTCGAGAGACAATTCTTAAAGTTCCAGAGACAACCCGTAAAAAGTGAAGTTTAACCATGTCGCGTTGGAAGACTTTTACCTCCACATACCATTGGATGGTCAAACAATATTGTAAATTGATTTGATTTAGACATTTAAACTATTGGATAGCAAGCCAATGATCTAGAGGTTCAGAACTTGTCGCAACATTTGAAGGTCTACAGTCCGATCACCGACAAGGTTGTGCATGGGCGCTAGTTAGAGTTTGAAAGATAATTGTAACCACTGAACAAAAAGGTTGAGTGACATGGCTCATAAGCGATAACATTGGCAAAGATCCAGTTGCTCTTTATCTTTCTCTAGATCTCGAGTTTCAGTATTCCTTTATGCGTACCTTTTCGTTCCATCTTTTTGAACCACATTTTCAAAATAGTATTTTTCATTACCATTGATGCAACAACTGCTTCGACTCCTTTGCTATTCATCTTACAGCGCCTATGTAGTATGAGAATTCGAGCTGACGTACATTTATGTCAAGTTTTACATTGATTATGGTTGATTATGTTGTCTAGAAAGACAATAAAAATCTCACAATTTAAGAATTCAACTTGGAAATTAGAACACTTTCGGAATTCTTCTCCCAAACTGCAAGTGTTTTACATCAATGCGGTATAACATAAGATTGCAACTTTCATAATACGAATTTTGTTATCGGAAGGTATGCCATCACTGAAAGTATCAATTACTGACTGGAACGCTGTATTAAATTCGATCTAACATCCAAATGACTTTAGTTGACCTACTTCAAGGTAATAGGCTATTATGGGACTCCTCAGCAGTGCGCATCCACGATCCCGAGACTCGAACCCAGGACCTACCAGTATCGAGCCGAAGCCCTTAACCGATAGACCACTGAGCCGGCATCCAACGGTGTTAATGTCTAGCTTCAATTGACTCATGATTTCAACTGTGAAAATACTAAATTCTCCACAAAACCCCCTCTGACCAATATTTATGTGTTCGAATGAATAAATAAATATCAAGAAACTTGTGCGACCACTACAAAAAACGACTCTCCAGAATCTGACCTGAATTAAATATAATGGACATTAATGAGCTTAAAAGAATAAAGAAGCACTCATTCTGAGTCCCCTGATTTTTAATAGTAACGGAACTGAACGTGGAAATAGAGATCATTGATGAAAACATCTCCATCATTTGCTTATAACAACGGGACAGTCTTGTGTACAGAAAGGTATTTTAAGTGCTTGGAAACCTTAAAATCTTGATGATTAAACAAGTGACCTATTTAGAAAGCACATACTCTTTGTGGGATCCACACATTTCATGTAAAAGCTAGTTATAATATCTGGCTGGCGTGATCTGAGTAGGGAGGAGGTGTTCAAACATATAACTAAAGATTGAAAAATTCTTGTTTTAACAATTTGATATTCTGTAATGGTACATAAAAAATGCCTCTTAAAAAGCTCTTCGTAACATCCCTTTGCAATTTAAAAGACTCACGCGATTGGCCTGAAAACGGTACAACGTGTAGATGAAAATTACCGAATCCGTTCAGAGGTCTATAAACGAAGCATGAAGGAAAAGGAAAGAGGAGAAAACAAAATAAAATAAGTGGTAATTTAAAGACCAATACAAGTAGGAAAACCCTTTGGTCAATCACATATAAAAAACGCCACACTATATAGTTTAGATCAACAGTCAATGACTTCTAAAGATAATGTCATATCTTGACTTAGTCTTTGCAATGCTCTCCCTAACCTTCTCCTACATCATTCAGGATTCTATGTAGAGGTAAGAGGGGTCTTGATAAACACATAAAGTTAAAGTGTGTAAATAAATTTATTTTCCATTTCCTTTAGAATATATATCACAACATTTCTTTATTATTTTCTACTCCACATATATACCATATATTTATTTTAAAATTTTCAATTCCAGATGAAAGAGAGTTTCAAGATTATTTCAATTTTGTCAGTCAGCTACAACGTAGGACCAGGCACATTTATGCATCGGTCCAAGTTGCCATACCTCGTTAGCACAACAAGATCAACACCGGATTCATAGAAGTAATTAATTTTGTGGTGGTAGTATATAAAGAAAGGCTGTATATAAGGATATAGTATAGGAAGAAAGAAAGTTATGAAGCAGTTTTAATCTCAAGGTTTAAGGGAAGATAAAGAGTGTATACACCTACGCCATTGTGATCGATCGATTCTGAGCCATGTCACACAGAGTCTCCAACCATTGGTTACGATAGTCACGCGGACCCCAACCAGGTAGTCTGAATCTGCCAACATGGCTCAGACTAGAAGTTAGTGACTTCAAACACTGATGCCATGTTTTGGTTTGGCCGCCCCTAACTCTCTTCCAACCATCCCCAATACTAGCCATCATAGCGCGTCGTGGTAATCGGTGTTCAGGCATACGTAACACGTGGCCTAACCATCTCAGTCGATGAAGATTCATGACCTCATCAACTGATTTACCATCATTTCCTAATACCCTGTGTCTAACCTCACTATTACTTACTTGATGATCTCAGCAGATGGGAGCAATATTTCTAAGGCATCTGTGGTCAAATACTAATAACTTACGAGTATCTTCTACTCTTAATGGCCATGTTTCACAGCCGTAAAGTAGAACAGAGCGAACTGATGCGCAGTACACTCGTCCCTTAACGAGCCTTTTGAATCCGTGCTGAAATTTCGTCAGACACCAACCTATAAGAGCTGATCAGACTGTATGTTTAAAATTCAGGTTAATTTACTTTTATTTGAACACGATTATGTGATGTTATAATTAACACTAAATATTGAATGCAATGACCTATACCTTGATAAATGAAAATACACTGATTACTTATATTAAACGACTTGACCTTCAAAAAATTCCGCCCATCGTCCAAGATGTCGAGAGATGTTAGTGATTGGCATCCCGTCATCCTCGTAGATTGTTTCACTCACACCAGACTTCTTGCTGCCAGTGGTTCGGATGAGTTGGAAGAGCTTCCGGCAGTTACCAGATGCAGCTGCTGCTTCCATCTCATTAGCACGCTCCGACCACCAGGCTTCTCGGTCCTTACGCAAGCTTTGCCCGATTTCATTACGTAACAGCCTTCGTTTGTGGTCAAACTCACGGTCACCCGGAGTAGACCGACGGGCTTCCATCAGTTGTAACAGAATGTCGCACGAACCGCAGCAAGAAAGCCTACACTTCAAGACACGGTGGATTGCAAGATTCAATGATTATATTAATTATTCAGTTAGGTGGTTTGTGGAAGTCAGTTAACTGATGCCAGCTAGAGAACTATTATTGGAAACTAACTATCAATGGACAGTTGCTTTGTCTTAACAACGAACCCCACATTAACCGTCGTTGGGGTGTTCTTTGGATCCAATAATTGGAAGTATGAAATTCAAAACAATCCATTCAAACTACCTACTAATATATTAAACTGTTCCGATAAATTCAATAAGCTTTTATGGAAGATGAGTACAAGTACGTGCTTCCTCTGATTCTGACGAAGTACATGCGTAAGTATGCCTAATACCACAACTCAGTTTCATAATATAATTTAACATATCGCACTAGTAAATTTGGTGGTGCTTCTCAATGAAGTGAAAATTAACCCATTCAGATTATGTCCAAAAACTTCTAACAAAATAATGTGCCAAGACGATGAAACAAACGATATATCCAGTATCATATAAGTGGACCCAATGATATATCTTTAGCACAAGGAAAAAAGGACAGACATGAGACAAAGTTAGGTTTCTGAATAAAGGTGATAAAATTTATTACATTTCCTTTGTTAAACATATGCTTTCAAACCCTTTAACATATGGAACAATTAGTGAAGAGTCAAATGGGAACCCACGGATTTTCCGACCGAACAAATAACTATTGCTACATCTGAATATAAGTTATACAAACAACTTAAGTGGGTTGTTAAAAAATAGTTACCTTGTGAAGATTATAAAAATTACAGATCTGAGAGTTTGAGATATTTTTAAGTAACTCATATGACCGAATATTTTAGTGTACAATGATTGAAATGTCAGTATACACGACGCAAATGAAAACAACAGTGTCTTAAAGTATCAAAGAAATAATTACTTACTTCCCAAATAGTATATGTATGTTTCCTCCAACCTTTTTAACGAACAAAGTACCAACGATTCGACAAGCATCAGAATTTCGGTCATTGAAAACCTTTTCATCAGCCACAGGGACTTCAAAGTTTGTGAAAACATTTGTCCCAGAGGTATATTTCCACAACCAATGCTGTATAGTATGGTGTTTTGCACGGAGGGTTTCAGCAATATATTGTCGATACTGTTGAAACAAAAAAAGCATCACAGAATAACGACCGGGGACTGGGAACATCGAGCATGTAGGAAAAGTTTACACGAGTAAAACGTAGACCTTTTTAACGTTAGAAAACAATTAAGTAAAGAACAATAGCGTGATGGAAGAAGTCTAATGTTATCTTTAACTTTCAGCTCAGGTTCCTGACGAGATTTCTGTGAAGCACTACTTTAAAAAAACTTTGACGTCGGCTTGGCGGAAATTATACAGTTTTTAATAAAAATCAAAAATATAATTTTTCTAGGAATTCATTTTCTAGCAACGTTGACGATGAATATGAGAATTACTGAAAACTACCAGAAGGACGATGAGATTAGTTTAATGGAAAACTGTGTAATATGCTCTTAAAACCGATTTATTTAAATAAGTAAGCCGTATAAAGGATTTTCTGACGCACGTACGAAGGTAATATAATGTTTACCATATCGATAGGTGAGCTAGGAATTCGTTTCTTTAGATAATAATCTGAGGAAATCCTCCTTATGCACACTCCGGTCTAGCAACATCAATACTAACAGCAATATGAAGGAAGAATCATGGAACTCAAAAAAAGAAAACTATGAGAATTACAATTCAGAGTACATACTTTGAATGCTGCTCGGGCTGATGGGCTAAGTTCGAAAGATGTTGGTAAGTACTGAATATTCTCTTCATCAGACAAAGAAGACCCAGAAGTATCCACAACATCCATTGAAACAGCTACGATGTCATATAGATGTGGGAAACTTACCGTGACATGGTGAGGCAACAACAATGTCAATATTGACCTTCACTTTTCTAAAGCACGATCTGGAAAAGAAAACTCTTACCCAGTAGTGGATTTATCTAATTCGTAAGAATAATTAACGGGTGGATCAAGATAACTTCGAAATTCCATTATAAGCAACCAAGATATGCAACCAAATGTTAGAATAGTAACTGAAGACTTGAGATTTTTAACCGCAGATACTTACCTAAACCACCACTCCATGTCGATTTTTTGCATTCTCGTGGAAGTTTTGGGAACACATCTAACTCATTTACTATTTGTGAGACACTAGGTCTCGGACCTTGGTTGGAGGTTTTCACATTCCTTCTCCTGACCTCCATAAATTCAAGATTTCTTATGTCTCAGTCAAGGTGAGAAGACCCACGATAGGACAGTTAAACAAGGTTAAGCTCTCAATTAGTTGGTAGTTGTTTTATAAAACTATCTATATCATAGATGTGTTCATAAACATTCTGAAGAAAATCATTTGTTAAGAATTCAGTAGTGAGGACAGAAGACCATAGTGTCCATAATTATTGAACTAACTTATATTAGTTTTTCACGGAACAAATTTATGAAATAATTGTACCAACTGGTGTTTAATTTAAACGTATTAGCATGCTTACTATGAATTACAAGTATAATATGTTCTGCTAAAATAATCCCACGCAATCTCCCGATTTTAGGGGAATACTGAATCATTTTTGGAGAAATCCTGGTGCAAAAATGATAGCAACACTTCGAGCAACGTGAAAAAGCCCAAATATCTCACGAGAGTTAGGGTAAAATACTAAATACTAAATGAAATTGTATAAAACCGAAAAACTACCAGAATTTCACCAAAATAGGGAAATTCGTCACTTCGCTTGGTGGCAATACTTCGAGAATTCTTAGCTAGAAAATCCATTCGAACACTTCTTATTATCATACCGGTGTCACGATGGAGCCTGTGATTGAACTAATAGATAATCATTCAAGTTACGGAGCTTTCCAGAATCATATGGAAGGGTTTAAAATCTGGGGTATGACCAGGAAAGGTGTTGACGATAATAAAATCATGGCTAATTTCTTCATGCCAATCGGATACGATGCCTACAACTCATCAAACAATCTGACATTTTCAGATAAGTTTATTTCACCTGCCTACACAACTGTCAAAGAACCAATTCCAAACTATGTAAATTTCGGATGTCATGAAAGAGCAATATTTCATAACATGGTTCGTCAGAACAACCAGAATGTTACAGAATTCATCCTCGGATTGCAGAAACAAGCCGTCAAGTACAATCTTCGTGACCGACTGCACGTCCAGATGTGTGACCGATTAGTTGTGGGAATTAAAATTACCAAATGTAAAAAGAGACCTCATACAAATTCTGAAGTGTTCCTTACAACATTTTCGAAGTGCAGTGCACAAAATTGACTTCCAGGATGTCAAGAATTCTGCTACACCACTTAGCTATCCCAATCTGATGCTTACTCAAGGTCATGTGAGTAGGTGTTGAAATATTGACAATCCTCACTCTCTTGGAAACACGGATGACAATTCATTGACGAGTTACGAAGCGGGTTACAGAAGTGAACACAGGTTCAATAAATATTTATCTTGAGATAAATTCCACTCACGTAACTCATGTGTCTTCCGTCATGCTAAATGATTTAGGTGTGATAAAATGAGACACATCTAGTCGGTTTGTCATACTACTGCAAGCAATACTAAACTTTGTAATTCGGATCCCATAAATCTGAATGATTTCAAAAGTTGTGTATTATCCTTATTTACAACTCACAATAATTCCCTTCATATTTAGAAACGACTTCCTAAAAACCGGCGAGGTTTATCCCAATGTCGGGAGATTGGTTAGAACGAGGTGAACACAATCGGACGCATAATATTTTGAATTCGGAATAAGAGTGCAATCAAGTGCAAAGTAGTCATCATTTTATGCATGTGCCACAACCACCACAGCTTAAATAGGAATCCAGATTCTCGTAATCCGTTGCACGTCTCCTTAGGTTCATCATGTTTCTGTCCATATGTGTATTGTGAATGTACTCTTTATAACTTGTAATCTAATCATTAGTATAGAAATTAAAAACGGAAATCGGAACAGACTCATCGGGGTTCTTGTACTTATTCGGTTGTTGTGTCTGGCGTGCACATGACCTTTTCGTTTAGTCGCAATTAATGCTAAACTTCGTATTCCGGATCCTATTAATCTGAAAATTTTCAATAGTTGTATATTATCCCTATTTACGTCTCATAATACTTCACATCATATTCATGACCAATGACATTTGTGCAGTGGTGCTTTTCACGATTTTATTGTTCAAACTGGTAATTTCAAATCCACCATTTCAGTTGAAAAGTTGAGGTAATTAAATCACGATACTGTAATTAAATTTACCAGAATTTCTATTTCGAGTACTACTGGTCCTTAACTTCCTGTTTTTGGGTGTTGTAATTTGCTGATCAGAGATGACAAATCTCCAATCATAAATTGTGGATTCCTTGTCGCGAATTACGGGGCATCTATCGTGGGTCTGATAAGCATAGGGTTGCTTCAAGGACATCCTCTCTAATTGATGACTGAAGAAGGTATTAATGAAATTCTTGATAAGTTGCTGACTATGGGATTGGAGGGCGAAGAAGTACACACGACTTCAAAGCTTTCTCATTCTATTGCTCAAGCAAGAAAAGTCAAGGCCTTGAAAATAAACATCAGTTCTATCATTGTTGCAAAATTTAATGATTCGGAGATGACAGGAGATGAAGTCTTCCAGTGCAGAATTGTAAGACTGTACTCATATTAACAATGATAAAGTCTTTCAGTGTAGAGTTTTCCGACCGGATGCCGAATAAAAAACAATAAAACCTCTTCAACGAGAAAATTTTCGTCCAAATAGGAGAAGTTTGCAGTGAGTCGATGTTGCACAGTATCGAGAAACTGATTCCCCACAATCTACAAAAGGTCTACTAAAAGAGGTTGACAAATCTATGGTTTATGTGCGCGACAGACATAACAACTGAATAAGTACAAGGACCCCGATGAGTCTGTTCCGATTTCTGTTTTTAATTCCTATACTAATGATTACATTACAGGTTATAAAGAGTACACTCACAATACACAGATGGACAGAAACATGATGAACCTAAGGAGACGTGCAATGGAAAACGAGAATCTGGATTCCTATTTAAGCTGCGGAGTTTGTTGGATTTGTATCAATTTTGTTGTGACATAAATTTCTCAGGGAGTTAATACTTTATTATGTGCAGTTATCTATCTTTATTACAGAGAGAGGTATAAATCCCGAAAAAATGAGGCAGAATGATTAGAAAACTATAAGTCTTACACTTGAATTGCAGAATCAGACCGTAAAGTGGAATACTAGAGCGCAACAGGAAGCTGAACTTCGTGGTCGGTTGATTGATGACATATATATCCCGAATTTAGAAAATGAATTGATTGAGAAACACAAAAGTTGAACGCAAGAAATAAAAACAGCATGTAAAAGATGTCATAAGTTTAGAAAATCATCCATTGGAGTGGACTCCATGACCAATATCGTCTGAGGCCTGGGAGAGAATTAACACAGACCGTTGTGGTTTACTTCTTGGCAAGTGCTATGCACTTGTAGTCATTGATTCTTCTTCTGAGTGGCTTGAAGTTTTTCTCTCGACTTCACCAAATTCTAGCTTCCTAGTTCAAGCACTTAGGAAACCTTGTGTTGGGAGAAGATTCCCATGACATTAGTGACAGGTGATGGCTCGCATTTTTCTGCAGACGCATTCACCACTTGGTTGAACGGTATAGAGTATAGACATCTGTTCACTGCATCCAGGCACCCCTGTTCTAATGGTCAACAGAAAATTTTCTCAGGACATTAAAATCTGCTGTTGACTCCATTGTTGATTCAATATTTGAAGACCTGATGTCGGAAGTAGATACATTTCTACTGCAATATACAAGTTCTAAGAACTCTATAATGAAAGAGACCACATCAAAGCTATCAAAAGGAAGAATGTGAGATTTTTAGAGTCCACAGAAGTTACATATTATTGTGGGAATGATCTTTCAGTGGTCCTGGGGTTTATGGTGGAGAATGTTGGAAAATCTGTGGTTCTGATTCCTGATATGAATGACTTAAGTACAAACAGACGATTTATCTTTCAAATACAATCCCAGGATCTAGGTGACTTTGTTACGACTTCTGTTGTTAATTATAATAATAATGAGCTTATTCCTATATTACGCAGAGTCTGTATCCTACACATAATCTGACAGACATACGATGAATCTAAGTAGAAGACGTTCAATTGATCACTGAAACTTAGATTCTGATATGAGCTGTGGTGGTTGTGATGTTTGTATGAACTAATGATTGTTTTTGCCTTGATTTCCGGTTGGTTTGTAGTGGCATTGAACCGTAACCACATGACCTTTGAAGTCGAGCGCTTAATTACTGAGAAGACTCATATTCAATAATTGAAACGAAGAGATGGTCAACAATGATGAACTCATGAATAAATTGAATTCAACCAATAAGATGACATGGCTCAGCCTCGCAAATGTGGTCATTCTGTATAACGTGTCTTTATTCACATTAAACATGTTATCCTATATTCAGTCTAAATGTGTTCTCCAGAAGTACTGAGTATCAAATTGTTACGACACAACGAGTCAGTGTAGACATTGATGTGACTTTCACGTAAGATCTTCTATATTAGACAGTCATATCATGCCTTATCTAAAATTTAAGGATAAGGTATATTATTAAAAAAGTACTAATAACGCAGTAGACCATAATTCTACAGATTCCGAAATCTAAATACACTACGTCTGTTTGTACTGACCTAGTTGTATTTGGCTTAAATTGCATTCTTTCAGGAATCGCTAGCTAAAGCTACAATTCGAATACTTCTAACTGTCATACCTGACTTACACCAGTACGCCTAGGGATCCAAGTGGCTACATAATATCTAAAGCTTTAAGAAGATACAGTTTAAGAATGTCTTCTACTAACATCCTCCTTCCTGTCCTCAACTCTACCTGTCTTTATTATCTATCCTTAATATGTGTCACTCTAGGTACTGGACCTAGTGGCCATTTGTTTTCTCCAAGTAATCAGAACATACTGTCACGAAGTCTTTCATTTTTCCTGTTAGTCGAGACCATTTGTATTTGGGTGCAACAATAAAACATATTCCTTATATCACGTTTTCCAGGATACTTGTACCAAATAGTTCTCTTGCTTTCATCTTTGAGAATACTTGTCATTAGATAGAGTACTACTGAGTCCTCTTACGTTCTGCCTCAACAGTAACAGCTTGTCTGATGTTACTGCATTGATATCATTTGTGAAACTTCTACTGTTGCAATAAATTTAGTTTCTTTTAATCTTTTTGACGGTTATCCAACCTCCCAACAGCCGAAGTCTTTATGGAACTGTTGTTATCACCTGTACATCAATAACATCTCTTATTCTGTGATAATACTCGAAAACAAAATCCATAATCGCATGCTCATACGACAACGTAATAGGGTGTTTTCTTGATTCAGGCCAAAATGTGTT